CCGGGATGGAGTGAGATCTTGCGGGGCAGGGCGTGGGCTAGTGCGCGAGGGCGCAGGCAAGTGCCAGAGGGCATGGGGGTGGGCGCCACCCTGGGGCTACCCGTAGCATTGTCGGCTCAGTGATGGGTATCCCCTGCGAACGCGCTATGCGCACCCCCCAGGTCTAGGGCTCTCTACACGATGGTTATGAAACAAGCAAGAAAGACACATGAAGAGAAACACATCGCTCTCGGGCCCCCACAGACATACACCCCGCACACCGCCGCCCTGCGAGGCAGAAGCGAGAAAGGGAGTGAAAAAAGAAAAATGCCCCCCGAGATTTCTGCCTCACCCTGATCGAGCATGCGCGCCGCGTGTCGCCGCTACGTTCAGGGCTGCAGCAGGTGGCTCCTCGTCCTGTTGCTCATCTCCCGCCTTGATTCAGCGCAGCCGTTCGCTCCACGGTCCGCCCTGGTGCTACGAACCTGCCCCAGCGCGTCGCTATTCGCTGGAGGCCCGCCCGCGCTGCTCCGGAGGCGCGGGCGTGGGCGAGAGCGGCTCGCGGTCGCAGTTGCGTCGGCCGGCGCGGCGGACGAGGCGCCGGACGCGGATTTGGCCTCCGCGTGGCTCGACGAGGCCGATGCCGGCGTGCTGAGCGACGGGACGGCGGCCGAGGTTGACGCCGCCGCAGCGCACAGCCTCGCGGCGTCTGGCGCGGCGCTGCTGATTGACCTGCGGACGGCGCGCCAGTTCGCGCGAGGGCACCCTGCAGGTGGGAGTGCAGCCCGCCCCTCCCCTCGGGGCGCTCTCGCCTCGAAGAACGCCCCGCAACCCATGCTGCATGCGCCTCGAATGCGCCCCGAGAACGCCGGCCTAACACGCCCATGCTGCACCACACCCCCCGTGCACCACACACCGCATCGCTGCGCCCTCTGCTCTCCGCACAGGCGCGGCCAGCATCCCGGCGGGCGAACCGGGCCCCTCGGGCCTCTTGTTCCACTTTCGGGAGGGGTTCGAGGCCGACGTGGAGGTGGTCGCCGTGCTCGCCGTCACCCCCTCACACCGCCCCTCTCCCCCGCCCCTCTCGCCCCTCGGGCAGGCAACGACGAGAAGCTAGAGGAGGAGGAGCTGCCAGACGAGGCGCTGGAGGAGGAGGGACAACTCGTAGCGCCGC